GTGCTCTCTCTCAAATAAATAAGTAAATAACCCTAAAAAAAAAAAAGATGAGAAATTCTTTAAGAAAGCAGGAAATGGAGGAGAGGTATCAAGGCAGGGTGTGTGTGTGTGTGTGAGGAGTGGTGGTGGTGGTAAAAGGGCTTCCCAGAAAGCCATGTTCTATGTAGTCATAAGCAGGGTCGGTTTAATGCCATTTTGGACATTCCAAGAAAGACGCTTATCTCAAGGGTGAGGATGGAGAAAGGCAGGCTGGAAGAGCCTTAATCTGTTTCTTAGTTTTTCAGTCTTTCAGCTGAGTAGCTAACAACCTCCTTGCTGCTTTGTTCTTTCCTCCACCTGTAGTGGTCTCCCTTTTTCCCAGGGCAGGGTTTTGTTCTTCCAGCCCTGAGTCTGACTTAAGGTTGTGTGTGTGAGGGGGTTGGGGAGAGGAGAGAGTGCCATCAATGAGAGCCGGTTTCCCAGAGGAAAGGCTGTGGGTCTCTAGCAAGAACCGATTTTCATATCCTTTCTCTGGCTTTTTCCAACCAGGCCCTTTGAGACACTTGTGAGGTTTACATATTACATTTCTCTCCAAGCCTGAGATGCCATATCCCCTTTCAGTCAGGCGGCTTGGGTGTTTGGAACCCAACATTATGAAACGTTTCTGGTCTACAATGGCCTGGGTGCAGAGGAGGGAACTCTGTTTTGAGGTCTGTCCCCTTCACTGAATTTCAGGGCACCTGGGGGAGGCAGGAAGTGGTATCTCACAGCTCCTGTTTTGATCTTGTTTGGCTGATTCTTCTAACCCTGGGAGCCAGGGGGCGCCCCCACCCTTTCTGCTTCCTGTATTACTCAGCTGGGCTTTGCAAAAGTAAAAAGCTTTGCCAAAAATAATTTTTCAAAGTGCCTCCTGCTATTAATGTTTTTCATAATGTCTCGTGTGAGAGCTCAGAGTCCAGGATTTGGCATCTCCAGTAGCCCCAGGGCTTTGGGACAGATAAAAGAGATGGACAAAGACTTTCATTGTTCTGGGTTTTGGACTAACTGGTAAAAGAGCTGCATTCCCCTGAGTGGCCTATTCACTATTAATCCATGGGTCCTGAAATCAACTCCTTCTGCACCCCCATTTCCTGGTTCAGATCTCTGCATTTTCCTTGTGCCTAAACTCTTGGTGTGGCAGAATGTAATCAAACCCACTGAGTTTAAGGTTTATCTTGCTGTAGTTTGAGAAGAAAACAGACAAGCCCAAAGCAATATCCTTACATTTTTCCCCTGTCTCCTACCCTTTTTGGGTAGCTCCTTTCTCCTTCCTTACTGTGGTTTTAATCCAATATTTTGCCTCTCCCGACTGTTTTTGTATTTTAGCCGTACCCCAGATTATTTTTCCATTCATGAGGCAATAGAAGACAGTTCAGGAGAGCCCCTTCAGTGGGGATGAAGGACCACCCAAGTCTGGGGCTTGAAAAAAATCTCTTGTCCACATCTCCACCTTCCCAGACTCCCTGAGGCAGGGAAGAAAATTGTAGCCAAGTTGTTGCAAATGGGGCATATCGTTTCCTGGTCTGAGCCCCAGCCCCCATTAAGCCCAGTGGTACAGTATGTGGGAAGAAGCACTCTTTACAAGCCTACTGTGGACCTTTTTTTTGGCATTTGACCCCCGGGAGCCCAGGGCTCAGAGAGCACAGTACCCCTGGTTGGAAAAGGGAGCAAGATGAAGGCCATACACACCTGGTGCTGGTCTGAGGGCTTCAGCTCCGGCTTCTGCTTGGCTTTCCCCAGCCTCTGATCTGTTCTCCAGAAACACTACCACCTCACCGCATAAGGGCCAGCCCACAGCTCATCTCTGCTCTAGCAGAGGTTGCTTAGGGCTCGCAGCCAATCCCTCGCTGTGCTGTCATCTCAAGATCTCGTTTCCACTTTGCAGAACTTAAAACCCAAGCGTGCCCTGCTCCTGTTTTGTATTGCCCAACACTGACAGCTTGCTTTCGCCACTGCCCAGCTTGTTTCTGCTCTGAAGGTTGGACCCAGCCCTGGAGTCTCAGCAGTGCCCCAGGCGCCGTCCCCTCAATAGGCCCAGAGTCAGCTTTGAGGTGGAGGCAATGGAGGGAGCTCATTCTTGGGGTTCTCGCAGAGTTTGTGGTGAGCTTCCCTGCATGTGAAGTTAGAGATTCAAATCACGGGGGCCAAATGGAAAAAAAATAAAGGCCTGAACTGGGCTGAATGTCAGTCCCTGTTTTGGTCACATTCTTCCAATTAGTTTTCCCAATACCACAGTCTGGGGCTGTCCTTCCACTGAAGTTGAGGCTTCCATGGCAGGGGTGGAGGGTTGGATAATTTTGTTTTGGGGGAAGCAAGAACTCTTAACTGAAAAATCTATTTTTGTGAAAAACAGGAAGCTGGGGGGTTGGTGGGGAAGAGGAAGAAAAGAAGGGTGAGTATAGGGAGGGGTGGGAAGAAGGGAGGGAGAAAACCACAACCAGAGGGACTTCCGCTCACATGCGCACTGTGGAGTCAAACTGCCTCCAGAGGTGACCTTGGAAATGTCTCCCGTACCCGCCAAGCTTGCCATGACTTGAGCTCTGAGTGTGCCTTACCCGGGATGTTACCACAGGCCACTTCCACACCCACCCAGAGCCACAGTCCTCACTGTTGTCGTAGATCATTTCAAAACACAGATGTGATCATTCATTTTCGACTCGCTTCCACAACTGTTTCAGCGCGCGTGCTGCCCGAGCGCTACTGACGGAGCTCCTTGGGAGGATGGGCCAAACGTTGCTAAGTATACGACTTCAAACCCAAATACAGTGTCCTCCCATTGCTCCCCTGCCGATTGCCTGGAGCAGTGTTTCTGGGGATAGCATGTATTCTCAGGGATCTGTGATACATATGCCTTTCATTTAGGAAAGAGTCTCTATGTTATTTAAGTTTGAGATCCCGTGTCCAACAGACCAATTTTAAGCCTCATAATTCCAGAGACATGTCTGAAGCCCTCCCTGGGCTTACTTTTGGAACTCCTCTGCCACAATTGCTTCATTTCAGCCACACTCTGCTACACCCAATTGTTCGTGACACAGAGGCCTGTAATCATTCTGATTCCTTTACCTTCAACACCCTTTCCTTTCTGTTTTTTCTTCCCCCTCATCATTCCTACCGCTGTAACCGGTAAACGACGCATCCTTCCCGACCCAGCTCAAGTGGTCCCTCTTCTTTGGAGCCTACCCCGTTCCACTTCAGGCGGAATAATTGTTTCCTTCTCTTTCCTCTGTGTCCCATTTTAGAAACCACTGTTACAGCTTTATCACGCTGCATGCGGGTTATTTAGTACACGTCTCTCTCTTCCTGGTTGATATGTGAGCTCCTCAAGAGCAAGAGCCCTACTTCTTTTTGCCCCTGTAGCACGGGGCTCTGCACAGAGCTGAAACTTATCAAATGTCTGCTGAATAAATGAGTGAGATGATCTCAAATTAGTTCAGCACCGGAAACCACCTGGCATGCACAGCTGTCTGTCCCAGGCTCCTGCTCTGCTGATGAAAACAGCTTCCTTGACAATCAGAAGCCCTGAACATAGACACTGAATCCCGGTACAATGACATGTGAGGAAGGAGGACTGAGCTAAGGAAGTCTCTTTTACATCACTGTAAACTTCTCAGTCTTGTTCCACACCCTCCCAGCCCATCTCTCTGTCTAAATACAAGCCATCTATACTGCAGGATTAGATGTTCATGGCGGCCTGCGAGGTGGTGCGTTCTCTTTGTACGGGGTGCTCTTTGCTCCAGTGGCAGTAGCTGTCTGAATAGCATAGTCTAGGGGGCTTCACCGTGGGGTCCGAGGACCCCTGGGAGTCCCTGAGGCCCTTTCACAAGTTCTGTGAGGCCTTTCCTTTCCCAGCTATGTATCTGTGTGAGGCTGGATTTTCCTTCATACGCTTCAACCAAAACAATGTATTACAACGGATGGAAATATGAGAATCTAGCTGTCTTCTGTTCAGACTTTAGAAAGATTTGCCAAAGTGTAAAACAGTGCTACACCCCTCACTATTTTTTTGGAAAAATAGAACTTATTTTTCATAAAAATATGTAATTTAGGTTTGCGTGTAATGGGTTTACTATTGTTATTTTAAAATTTATACACATTTTAAGATTCCCATTTTCGTTTCTAATATGGTAAATCCTAATGCGGTAAATATAAAAAGTTCTTTGGGGTTTTCAATAAACTTTTTTAAGAGGATGAAGCAGTCTTGAGATTAAAAAGTTGGAAACCCATTATGTTAGACTATATCACGCCTCTAGGTCTTTTCCTGTGCTGTATCCCCAGCCTAGAATATAGTTCCTGCTTCCATATTAGTCTGGAAAATACTTATGTAATTAGAAATATTTCCCTGGTTCTCCTCTTCTCTGGAGTCATTCCTTCCTTCTTGGGTACTATTATATCCTGAAAACATTTCTCTTATTTTATTTCTCATATCCCTGCATTGTTTAGGCATCGGTCTCTGTGACAAAACCACAAGCTCTCTAAAAGCAGGAACCCTGACTAATTAATCTCATGATTTCCAGGGCTCAATGCAAAGAACATGATCTATGAATATTTGTGGAATGAATGGACTAAAAAAAGGAGGTCTGGATTTTAGTTCCAGTTCTGCCTCTAACTAGCAATGTGACTTTGGGCAAGTCACTTGACCTCTCTGACACTCAGTTTCCTCACTGGTGAAATAAGAAAACTTAGACTACATGATCTCTAAAATCCCTTCTCACTTTGACATTGATGTCAAAGCTGAATAGTAGGTGCATGATGGCTTCCAGTTAATACTAGAGTGAATCCCGTGCAAAAAAACTTGACATTTACCACAGTCAGTAATAGCAAATGTATTGGGATCTTCCTTCTTTTCTTCCAACAAATTGAGAAATAGGAATTCTTGTCAATTTTGGTTCTGGGTCTTCCCTGGGTGTGGAGCAGCATGACCCCAGCTAATGACTCTAGATTTAGCTGAGCTTTCCCATATATTTACTGTGACATGTCTGACCTCTAGGTCTTAGCACCCCCTACCTCGCCTCTTCAATAGTGAGAAAACCCTTCTCTTGCTGGGATAGTATGGAAAGAAGAATAGAAGCCTGCGAGCTTTGTTCAAAGATTTCATTCCCTTACCTTCCAAGAGCTGTCAGAGGCCCTTATCAGAGTGGACAGTAGGTCTTGGAGAATCACCATTTTCTGTTTTAGAACCAGCTCCCTTTGTAGGGCCTCCTGGGGGCAAAATGCAAGAAGGTACGATTAAACTGGAGGAGGAGGGAGTAGATGGGGAAGGAGCTGAGAGGAGAGTTCACATGTTACTTACTTTGAGGTACTCAGAAAGCTGGATGATTTCCTAGAGAGAAAGAAAAAAGATATTCAAGAAGACTCTGGGTCCCCTGAAATCCTGGAACACAGAACCAGAGCCAGGACTAGGTTGTGTCAAGTAAATTTTCTTCCTTGGCTCAGACAGAGTCCCTCCAGGTCCCCGTGTCTGTGCTCATCCAGGAAGGTGCCCCTCCATTCCAGCTGTGTTTACCATGGAATTCCAGAATGTCAGAGCTTGGAGGACCTGAGATACCATCTGAGTCAACCTCTTCAAAGTGAGGATTTTCTTACCTTATCTAGAACTGCAACTCCATAACTGGGAAGAGAAGAAATAAAAACAGAAATGACAATGGATCAGAGAAACAAGCACATCAGGAGATGGTAGGTCATTTCCTTCTCTGATCTCTTCTGAAGAGCCAAAAGGGTGGGTCAGGTCTTCCTTTCTCTGTTAATGTGGACATGGAAGTTCATTGTGTTCCTTCTCCACATACGGGGTGAGGGTTCAAGCAAAGCTTAGAAGAGAGGAACGGATGGTATGTAAGGAAGCTGGGGGCAGGAACATGGAAGGTACTCACTTGGTTTGCTGACTGGCATCATTCTTAATCGTTGGCTGGGCTGTTTCTGCCTTTGTCTGAGTGCCTGAGTGATAGAGGATAAGATGATTCAGAATCCACAGAAGAGGAAGTGGGAAGGGACAGGAACTGTCCACTACCAGCAAGCTGAGCCTGCAGGCCCCAGTGAGTGAGGGAGGCTCTGCTCTTACCACGGTGCTGTTGGGGTGGCTTTTTGGTGGGAGAGTCCTTTGGTGAAAGGTCCCCGGCCTGGGAGGGGCGGTCAGCCAGATCCCTCCGGGTGCCTGAGGGAGGTTGACGCTGGGTTGGAAAGACCTCAGAGCTGGTCCCTGACACCTGGAAAGCAAGTGGGAGATGCTGAGAGCCTAGAGCCTCTTAGAGCATGATTCTCCAGCTGACTGCAGAGAGATGAACCAGTGATCAAGTTTCTGGTCCAGAAAACCAAAGTAACCCATTCAAACCTTGAAAACTACAAAGTTGTCCCCGCTCCTGCCCTCCCTTGTCCTGGCTGGTGGGAATGGTCCTTCCCAGGCCAGGCAAAGGGGGAGCTGGATTTGAATCTCCTGACTTTCTCTAGAATCCCAGGTCTAACTTGTTTGGTTTCAGCCCCTCACACAGCCAGCATGGTGCTGTGGAGAAAGAACTGGTCTGAGAGAGAGGGCGTCAGGTCAGACCCTGCCTTTTCTACGAGGTCTCAGTCTCCTGTCCACGTCATGAGTCTGTGTGATATAGATGGTCTCTGAGGTCCCTTCCATATCCGAGAGGTGGCTTCCTTCCTCTCAGTGATGGCTGGAATACTGCTGAGGTTTGTGTGACGAGCATGTAGAAAAGGGTTGTGTAGGGAGGGGTGTAGTAGCAGTTGTCACCATCTAGTCCACTCTTTTTTTAATATATTTTCTTCATACATACTCAAAAATTCTACGGTTGTAACGGAACACCAAAAGGCGAAGGAATGCCTGTGGTAGCCAATCATGCAGACTGACTTGATCTCAGTAAAACTTCAATAACTGATAGGCTTAGAGTAAGTTCTTTAATTAAATGCATTTTTGTTCTTTTTCTCCTTAAAAAAAAATTTTTTTTAAACCAAAAGCGTTCAGAAACCTTCTTGCCATAGAACGTACACAGTTGGTTTTATTTCACAATCGGGCTCAAGGATCGTTTTTCTGAACAGCACCTTCTATTGTGGATGACAGATCCACTAGGTAAGAAGCCCTGATTGAACTTCTAGGCTGGGTATGGAACCAGGCCAGGTACTTCCAGGGAATACAGTGGACCCGTCCCCACTGTCCACAGGCTCACAACATGGATAGAAGACACAGATGGTTTGCTGGCTGAGATCATCTCAGCACACCCTGATTTCTGCCAGCACTGCTTCTTCCCAGGCCAGAACGATGGGTTCTCTAAGTATTATTACACAATCTTAGAGGATTTATAACCTCATTAGGACCACAGAGAGCAGAGGTGGCCTAGAGAAGCCAGGAAAAGCTTACTGGACCAGATAAAACCTTCGCTGAATGAATCTAGTACAAATGGAATGGTCCAAGTGAAAGAGAAAAGGTAGGTAGGTACAACAGCCTCACAGAAGAGCAGAGGGTTTTGTGTGTGTGTGTGTGTGTGTGTGTGTGTGTGTGTTTGTGTTTGTGTTCCTGAGAGGGGGCACCAAGAAGATGGGCCTGTGTACCTGGCATACAGTAAGCACGCCATAAATATTTGTTGAATGAGGTATGTATAGACTGCCCAAATTTGAACTGATAACTAGGCATTAGCAATGGAATTGTTTAAATTTTTTTCTTCTTCCTTAAAAGGCAAGTGCAAAACAAAAAAAATAGCTGAACAAACAAAAACCCAAACAACAAAAATCTCTGAATGAGTTTAAGTGGCTAAGGGAGGCGACTATATTACTGAGGAAGCAGGAACTTAATTTAAATTGCTTTTTAGTGAGTCTGAGCCCATTCACATGCCATTGTACCTCTGCCCCTGTCCAGAGCAGCGTGACCCCTGACATGACCCACCTGCTGTTGGGGGGAAGAGATCCTGTGGGCCCAAGACAAGGGTTCCTTGAGGTCAGTTGGCTGGCCTGGCCTCCTAGAGGGACCTCGCTCCTTGGCCCTGGGGCTCTGGGCCTTGCCTTTCTCCTCCACCTCCAAGTTCCTCCTCCTGAAGAACTCCTGTTGCCGTGCTCTCTGGAGCTGCTCTCTCTGCTGGATCCTCAGTGCCTTCCCCACCTGGCGGCAAGTGGTCACATTGGGGCGGCAGCGGCGGCTCTCACGGGTCTCTTGCCGGCGCTCACATTTGGCCTCATAGCTCTCAGCCCACCGGGCCAAGCCAGGGGAAGGCCTGGGGTCTGGGCTGATCATGATGACCTCCTGAGCACCTGTTGTGCTTGGCTTCCAGTTCCTGGAATAGCTGCCTGGGTCTGCCAAATGCCAGGAGGGAGGAGAAGGGGAGGGGTCAGGAGATGGGCAGAAAAATGACTGTCTCCCTGGACCAGGGGGCAGAAATAGCACAGTGTCCCACACATGTGGGATGAAAACTGATGAGGTGATGGTGTTGAGCTGGGAGTCAGGCCTCCTGTGTCCAGGCTCTATACTAACTTTTGCTTTCCTCTGGCCTATGTTTCCCCTTCTGCAAAGTGGAAAGATCTCTTTGGCTACCACTTCTTCCTTGACCTTCCTTGACCTCACCCTGCCTCTAAGTCAGGGGAACCTGAGAAATAATTAATGAAAATCATCATGAGCATATAGCCTTTTGGATGGCAGATAGGGATGTGTTCATTTTCCAGAGACTTCTAGAGAACCAGGTAAATTGGCTCCCTGTTCTCCAATCTAAAAGGAAAGCCAGCATCTTTACTGCTCTCTTGGCCCAAGTTGATGCTAAGATAGGTGAGTGACTCTTCTCAAGGCCTGGAAGGATAACCAGACCTCCCAAATGGGGGCCAGTCCTGTGACCACCACACACTGCCGTCTTCTTAGCCCTTAGTAACTAGCTTCTGAGTCTGGTCCTCGGTGTGGTTTAGGAGGGAAACGTCATGCTAACTCCTCTAGTCATGGAATCCTGACATTGGCCTGTTGGTTTCCACTCCTGGCCCAGGACTGGGCTCTCACCCTCAGGAGCACATCAACTCAAACCAGTATTGGCTGAGGACCTGCCGTCTGCCCAGTGTTGACCGAAACCCATTTCAGAGCTTCCAGCTCAATAACTCTCCAAGCTGAAGGTTCCATGCTTTAGAATCTCCTTCCTGTTAGGGCTAAGTATGCTGCCAGGTCTGCTCTCCTTAGCGCAAACAGAGATCGTGCCATCAAAACCAGCAACCACACGAATGATACCTCAATAAGGCTATTATAAACAAAAATGAAACAGATGGAAACAGTCACCCCAAGTCCCCAGGGAACCAGACTTGGTGTACAAACCATACTTGCTGCCTCTTTACACAGTCTTACCTGCTCTTCTTAGAACCCCCAATTCTAACCTCTTCTTCCTTCTCTGTGCCCCCCACCCCCTCTCTCCCACTCTCCCTCACCTACCTTCTGCAAATTTGTTTATTCTCCTAGAACTCTCTGGTAGCTTGGCTGAATTGGGGCTGGACTTGGCTGAGCCAGATTCTGATCACTGGAAATTCTGGGCCCTGCTTCCACTGATCACTGGAGTCAAGCCCAGTGGATGATGAAGGAAGAGGGACTCCCCCTTCCAGCTTCAGCTTCTCCTCTCTGTCCCACAATGTCATTACCCACCGCCCGGGGAATCCAGTTCCTGGATAGGTCAGAGAGGGCATCTCAGCTTCACTGACCAGCAGGCAATTGGCAGCTCTGGCCCCTTGAGTTTATTTGTAGGCCAAACAGACTCAACAGGTAGCAGCCTCTCTGTCCTTTCCTTGGAAATTTGTTGCCCATCTGGCTCAGCCCAGAATGCTCTGCAGGATTCTTACTCTGTCTCTGATCATACCACTCATTCCCGGGGGTCAGTCATGGGTGGGGCCGTCTCACTCCAGGAGAGGGGTCTTGCAAGGTCAAGCCAGGCATGCTCTCAAATGCCTGACGCGCGAGGCGTGGAGGGGCATACTCTGGTCTTGGGCAGTGCAGACCCCAGGCAGAACTGTGAAGTTGTAAATGCTTTTCTCTCATCTCATCCCTGGGTAGCTCTTCCCTTTCTTTAGGCTTTTCTCCGCATTCCTACTCTGTAGGGTTCCCTGATTTCCCACCTGCCACTTCTGTTATTTAAAAACAGAACAGGATCTAAAAGGCCCATTCATATTGAATTATAAATGACTGAATGGAGGAGACTCAGGATTATGTACAGGTGAGCTCCATGTCTAGAATCTACCCTTGTAGTAGCTTAAGCTACAGCCCCTGGCTCTTCTGCCTTGATCGGGGAGGCAGAGAGCCCTGGCTCCCGGCTCTGTCATCTACGACCTCTGTGCTTTCGGACAAACTATTAAACATCTCTAAGTCTTAGTTTTTTTCATTATAAAATGGGACTACAACCCCCCTTGTAAGGTTATAAGAATTAAAGAAAAAAAAGGCCCATTAAGCATCTGGCACATACCACACAATAAACGTTAGCTTTTTACAATACTAAACTAGGATTATTACCCCCGTCTTGCTGATCTTGGTTCTTAAAGACTTGGTGCTGTAAGACCAAGGCCTCCAGCTAGACTAGCCCTCCAGGATCAAGAATGCCTCATCCTTGGGCGCCTGGGTGGCTCAGATGGTTAAGCGTCTGCCTTCGGCTCAGGTCATGATCTCTGGGTCCTGGGATCGAGTCCCGCATCGGGCTTCCTGCTTTTGGGAGCCTGCTTCTCCCTCTGCCTCTCTCTCTCTGTCTCTCATGAATAAATAAATAAAATCTTTAAAAAAAAAAAAAAGAATGCCTCATCCTTCTGTCCCCCACCCTCCTCTCTTTGAAGGGGGTGCTGTTTACTACATGGAGGTTGAAATCATATTTACTGCTCTGGTTCATCTGACCTCTGGGTGTGGGCTATGATGATAAAGGACTTCTCTGTGATCTGGACACAATTAGGTCCAGCAGAAAGGCAAAGAAGAGGTGGGGTGAAGAATCGGTGTCCAGCCTGTCTGCATCCCACCATTAAAACATGGGTCGCTGGGTCCCCTCCCTGTTTGGCTCCAGGAAATCTGAGGGCTTTGTAGAGGAGGCAAAGCCTGTGATTATGGAGAATCCTCCTACCTTCCTGCCAGGAGGAGCCAGAGCCCGAGATAAGGTCCCCCCGGACCCTGCCAGGCCGCGATCGCCAGGGCACAAGACCCCAGACACGCGGGGCGGCCTCGCTCTGCTTCCTGAGGGGCAGACCCTGGGACCTGTTACCCAAGCAGGGACTCGCAGTACAGAGGCTCCTTACAGAAGGGAGCATTCCCTAACCCCCACCCCCGTAGGATTAGGTGCACACAGCTGAGTGGCATCCCATCCAGCTTTCAAGGATGTCTTGAGCGGTCTGATTTGCTTAAACACAAGAAGCCATGTGGGATGGCTGACTGACAGGGATGGGCTGCAGACGAATAGGGAACTGGTCCCTGTGTAGTTCAAAGAGAGGTCACTGGGCCACTGCCCAGGCTTTCTGGCATCTGGCAGCATGACAGGGCCTATGTGGAGCTTGGGGAGGAGGTGATACAGCCACAGGGCGTCCTGCCACAGGGAGAGGTCAGGGTGTGGCCCTCACCTGACAGTGGTTTGTTGCTGCCTTTCCAAGTGGGTTCCTGCTTCCTGCCTGTCGTGTGCAGCGGATGGCTTCCCTCAGAGGTCGGGCCATCCGATGCAGAGCTCCCAGTGTGAGCTGAGGGGAGAAGGGCCTGCACCTAAGCTGTGGACAGGCAGCTTGTTGTTTTGGGAACTCCTGCTTTGAAGGCAACCGTAAAAAGTCATTTAATTCCTGCCCATCACTGGGTAGCTGGCACCCTAACTCGTCTGACTCACTCCTAATGTACTCTAACGGACAGAGCAGAGGAGCGTTCGGAGCTGCGCCCCTGGGCCGTGGCTAGTGCCTCCGGGAACTAGCGCAGGATGCTTTCTTGATTACCCCACCCCCAACACTCTTAAATTAACACATCTGTTTCTGTGTCTCCCCCTTGAGCCTAGGGAAGCTGGGATGACAGATCATCGTCCCCACCCCAGAGTCGGAGGTGCCTAACCTGGACACAACAGCATCCTCCTCATCAGTTACCTTGGGTCCCAGGCTCCAACCAAGCAGCTCAGGACAGCATTCCAGCTCCTGGGCAGATCTTGGCTCTGGTCTCAGATGGGGCAGGACAGCAGCTGAGTAAAGTGCAAGCTCTCAATCCATGGCTCTGGGCCCCCTTAGCATTTCTCTTCTTCGTACTGTCTTTCTTTTTGCACAGCAACCTTGCTGAAACAGGAAACAGACAAAGCCACAGTGCTTGCTCACCCCAGTTCCTCTCTCTCGCTCTTGGGCACAATCTGAGTGGGCCTCTAAGCCCTTGAGGCCTCTGGGGCTGGGCACAGGAGCTCCTCCCATCTTTGGGCACCCCAGCCACCCTGTCTCTGGCTAGTGGATTGGTGTGAGCTCTCAGTTGGTTTCAAATCTAGACCCCCTTCTAAAAGTAGACAAGGATGGGACTCTAGGTCACATCCAAACCTTGCAGTTTCTATAAGGAGGAAAATACCTTTCTGACCTAGAAGAGACGTTCCCAGTATAGGTTTTCATGTATATCAGGTAGCTGTCTGTACAAAGATTTTCTTTCCGGGCGCCTGGGTGGCTCAGTTGGTTAAGCGACTGCCTTCGGCTCAGGTCATGATCCTGGAGTCCCGGGATCGAGTCCTGCATCGGGCTCCCTGCTCGGCGGGGAGTCTGCTTCTCCCTCTGACCTTCCCC